TTTTAAATTTTAGTAATTGCAATTCAACTGTGTCTATATAGAATTCTTGAGGGTTTTGCACATTTCTCTTGATGTTCATTTCTAAAGTTTCTTTCTTCTGATTAATGTTGTTTGCTCCTTTCTTATTATACATAGTTAAGCCAAAAAGTTCATGCATTTCAGGGAATATTTCAGGGAAAATTACAAAGGAAACTTATCACTGAAAAAACAAGCAGCGTACATGAGTTAAACAACAATGAAAGTTTGAAAGTACCCATGTCATCAGAATTGATAAGGATCCAGGAGCCATTATGTTCTTGAAGGCTCAGCCACAAAATTGAAAATGGGTAATAAGTATGAATCAAAGGGATAGGCTGTGTAGACCTGTTAAAAGAGCCACAACACTGTCATTTCAAAATGGTGGAAATCTCAAAAACGTATGTGAAGCTGTTACATAAAGGCCCCTGAAATGCTTAGTCCTTAATCCAGGAGTCACATAACACCATAGTAAACATTAAGATCCTTTTCAAAGAAAAAGGTTACGTCTGAAGAACGCTTCTTGCAGTTATAATTGAAGAGGTGGAACTTTTGGGGATGCTCAAGTCAGTTTTTCTGTCTGTGACCTGTACCCTTTGTACTGGAGAGATACTGAGTAAAGACACTATGTCTGTATGTTTTCCAGAAGTGGAATGTATGATCTTCCAGATCTTCTAGTATATAATTAAGCATTTTTTAGCTGAATTCAGTACAGTTTGGTTAGTCATGTGCAAAAGGTACAAGAAGAATCTCCCAAGAAAAAGCAGATGCCCAAACTGTAAGTAATAATAAACCATCTTCTCTTAAGTATGGCAGATAACACTTGTTAGTCTAAAAATATGCAGTGCCAAAGCTTTCAGACTTGAGTTTACAGGAGTACTCAGCCAGATCACTTCAAAATTACAGTAAAAGTATCTCCAGTCCAGTGACATACCTCATCTGTTAATTGTGAGGCTGTTTACAGCCTCATTATTACAAAATACTTTTAAGATTTTTTTAGCTTTTAATAATTACAAAAAAGTTTATTACTAAATAATTTTTGTGGAAATCCAATACCACCACCATCCTGTGCACGTAATCTGTTTTCTGCCCTGAGGTGACATTGTGTAATAGAAGCAGCAATGCATGTCAGAGTATTAGTTTATTCACGGGTCTGGAAGGCCAAGTGATCTTGCAGCTGCCTAATTCTGTGGACAGAATAAAAAAAAAAAAAAAAAAAAAAAAAAAAAAAAAAAAAAAAAAAAAAAAAAAAAAAAAAAACAAAAAAAAAAAAAAAAAAAAAAAAAA